ACGTTAACTTATATTTTGCAGAATTATTATTTATAAATACAGCAATATTGGCGGGACTAACAGGTGCAACCAGATTTTTAAGGATGAAGAAGAAACTACAAAGGTAAAACCAAAAGATAACCATTCATTAGCCTTCATTAAACCTCAAGCTTCTTCTTCGACATCTATGTGCTGAGATTTTCTTTTCAACAATACCAAAATTTATTCTTGGCACATTTTGTTTTAACTATAGGTCACGGGTTCAAGCCGCAGAAGCACTGTCTACATCATACCTTTTGGTAAAGGTATGCCGTCTTTCTCCGTACTCTACGTGAATACGGGATATTTTGTGCACCGGGCTACCATTTACAATTTATTTTGACTATTGTATCCTGTTCTTTTCCCCCTTGGATTTCTAGTAGTATGAAAATTGAATGCTTAACAAATAGTTTCCATTATCAGCCCATGGTTTTGGTTTTCCTTTGCTATAAACTGATGGCGTTAAATGGCAATCAATGAGCATCTTTAATATTATGCCTGGATTGGAAAAGGATTCGAACATAAAGAAATTCAGTATTTAGTAAATTCAAAATGAGAGTGTGATCTTGTAATGTATACATTTTATATATCTTTTGTTTATGTATACAGTTAAAGCAATGAGTTCAATTGGACATACAGCTCGTCGTAAATCTGCCTTTGACTCGAACCTCCATGCGTCAGACCTTCACATATTTGTACGGGCAAACCCGTATATATGGATTGTAAAGATATGGGAAAAAATTCTAAAAATTAGTACATTTTCTATTAAATTCTGAATTTTACAATGATATTCGAAATCTGCTCTCCTTTTCTATTTTTTTTTCTAGGAAAGGAGGCATTTTAAAACATTTTTTACTATATCAAAGAGTGGTAAAATAACTAACCTTATTTACTTTCCTGGCCTCTAAGTGATAGGAGAGTCAATGTTGCTAGTGGCGGATTTACAGGGTAAATTATGGGGCATGTGAACCCATGGTGTTTCCGCCAAAATAGGTATTTTATGTATGTATATTTTTAGAATTAATCTAATTATCTGACACTCATGCTTCACAAGGCTGAATGATGTACTTGGTTAAATAATGAGTTATTTACCCAAAAAGAACATGAATTAATTTACTTAATGAGTACTTTTTTTGTCCTTTCTTTAATGATACACCCATGTTTTAAAAATCCTAAATCAGCCTCTGATTATTTATGTTTGCTATCTGTTTTGGTAAATATATTTTGCAGTGTCATTGGTCTTGTATTTATTCCAGTTCACAGATCACAATCAGTCTTTGAGCTTTAAATGAAGTAACATTCAAGTAAGCATGAGCCAATTAGCTAGTTCATTTTATACAGTTACTATATGAAATTGGAGTTAATTAATAAGTCCATGTATTTTGCTCAAATATTTGATCTTGCTTCGAGTTAGTATTCCTTGAATTTAACATATAAAATCAAATTTAATAACAAGTTTTTTCAACAAATTTTAGATAACTACAATGATTCTCAAAAAAATATGCTACCCAAATTGAGAAACGTAGAAATCTTCCGGGCTTAATTTCAACCCAACACCTCTCATAGCACTTTTTTTGTTTTCTTTTTTGTGATAAGGACGTCTTTCATATCACTCGTTAAAGTCATATATTCACTCAAGTTAGCCAGAAATGTCTGAGAAAGTAAGCAGATTATACAGGTACATGAATTTCCCCCTAGATCTTTGTAGCTGGGAATTTTCAAATGATACATACATGGGCAGACTATAACATGATTGTCGTCGTCGTCACCCATTTCTCTATCAACGTCACCAGTGAGTTCAACCAGATTTGAATAGAAGTACTGCTTTTGAATCCAAATAGAAGTATACAAAGTGGTTCGTCTCATGAGTCACATAAGAACCTACGTGGGAAAAGGAAAAACACAAAAATATCATGATTTGTTGATGCATAATAAGTCTGCAGATCAATTCATCAAAGCAGTCAATCTTTCGTTTAAAATGAACAAATTATTCAAAAAAACATCATAATGCAGACAAAACCATTCCCATCCTCACCAAACTCTACAATATGTCTGGTATACGGAGAAAGAAAAAAGGAATAAAACAAATAACCAACACAGCAGAATTGGTTCTCATCCGAATTGAAGTGACTTTAGCAGCCTTCATCACAGTTAAATTGTGCGACCATTTTCTTTGCTACAAGTACCATCTATAATCCTCAACCAAAGCAAACGACCAACAAAACTGAAACTGATAATGGGGCAAACGACCAACAAAACTGAAATTGATAATGGGGCAAACAAAATCTTGGCTATGCATAAGTTCAGCAGAGCACAAATTAGCAACCAAGATATTGTGGAAAACTAATTCCATCAACATCAAACTCAGGCAAAGGACAGCTACTACACTCTCCTAATATTCATCGCACGAGGACAAATTGTCTACCAAAGCCGAAGACTCCAAAATTATATTCGCAAACCTCTTAGACCTAAAGTAGAACGACAAATGTATTGCCTCATGGTTGTCCTGAAAGCATGATATATTGGAGGCATCAAATAATATCTTTTGATGTATCTTCGGGCACTTCAGACAAAATTCATGGTCAAACCAATTAATCTCTAATAAACGAGTATGATTTACCAAAGCACAGGAATAAAATATAATACTCTGGCACTGCGATTGAATATTCCACCTCTTGTTTTATGGTGCTAGAGAAAGGAAAAAGAAAAAGATACCAGGAGATCAACAAAAGAATTTAGTAAAATATAACCATATTAAATTATACTACATAACTTGGGCAAAAACATCTGAAAAGGTTTAAACAATTTCCTTTCTGAACAAGAGAAAGTAAAAGTCCTAGGTGGTTTCAAGAAGCACCGGATGAGATACGTCCACCACACATCTACAGATGTTAACAGAGCTTCAGCTGTGAAAAGCCCATTCAGGCCAAGTAATTGACAAATCTATAGGTCTGCATGAATCAATTTAATAAGTATCGACAGTGGAGATCAAGTTCTCTGCCACCTTTCTACACACTATTAGTTACTCAAGTCCTCTGTTACCTTTCTACACATATTACTTTGGTATTTTGTACTTATTTTTATTGTGGGTCGGGGTGGGGAAAAAGCCCACTTATCATGGCGCCTCTAGGTTAATTTTGTCTTTTGAGTTCAAATGTATAGTCCAGGGGTGGGGATAAAACCCACTTTATCATGGTGCCTCTAGGATAATTTTGTCTTTAAGTTCAAACCTGTACTCCAAAATTCTTCAAATTATCAAATGTAATACATGAGGTTGGCCTCCTCCAGCTTTTGGCTAAATGTCAGTCGCTACTTTCGAAGTCCTGTTGAACCGAAACTGGCTATTGCAACTAGCATCAGCCTTCAAATTATTTGTAACCAAGGGTAAGTGGCCAGTATGGTTGTATTAAATAACAGTATGATTTCCATTGCGAACTAACAAGGAAAACCTTTCTTTCTATAGGTACCCAAAAAATGTGATAATTCTATTACACTGCTCTGAACAAGGACCACAAGTTACACAATGGAGAAGTGCAGATGCTTCACTAAAGTGACGGAAAGAAGCTTAAGTATAGTTTGACAACTGAAGCCTTAGCACTTACAAAGAATGAATAACCTGTCAAACTATTATAGGATTCGTCCTACGTAAAGATAAGTAAAGGACTATTGTTAGTTGCAGACTGCTGATTCTCTGATAAATGTGCCTCAAAGGGAAGGGAAACACAAAAGTTGGTAGATTTGATGTATTACACTTCTACTCTCAAATGGATCACTAAAACAGAGCGTTCTCGTTTAGTCATGATCAACCTCTAACCTATTTCATTTTAATCTAGACATGATCAACTTCTAACCCACTTCATCACTCATTGATTTTCTTCACAAGCACAGGAAAGTCATGTATGACCACTTGCGCATACAAATAATACTCTATGCATAATCCATTTATTAGCATCTCACAGGACCAGTGTTAATCACAATAACCATTTATGACCTAAAAGAGATTAGACTAACACAAGTACAATTTCATAGCAAGAAACTTAAGTTTCATCTTAATAAATGACAATTCGGGAATTAGCATATAGGAATTTTACCTACCAGATTTAGGAGAAAGAGTTATAAAACAGACAAAAGAAAAATAAGTAAATTAACGTGGGACATGTGAAGAATTAAGTTTGCGATAAAACCAAAAATTTAAAACTGCGTGCATGCATAAGCACAATATCTCTCAGCGATTGTGTATTAATAGAGAAAACATTGCCTTATTTACTACCACAATTTCTAATCTCACACAAACATGGCGAATGGGTAAACATGCCACCAAGCTGAGAGTTTGGTCGCTCATGTGGGCGCATGACAACAATCTTAGCAATGAAACTTTCACCATCCTACATGTGTTCACAAGAGGAATCTCTGATGTCATCAATTGCGGTTTAATAACTGGGTGTATGTGTTTGTCAAGAAAACAAGCACATAACAGGGTAGACGTACGATGTAGTAGAAACCCTAGCAAGATTGAAGGACATGCTGTCGATACCTTTAAGATCCCAAAGGATACCAAAGGTTCTTTTACCATAATGGAGCCGGCTAAGCCAGATGCTGGCCAACCAATAAATTATCTTTTGAGACCTGTTAGAAATGATGATATCCATTACCATTTGACCCGTTGTTAGAAAAAAGGGTCATCACCAAGTTTTGTGTTTACTGATATTTTGTTGCAGGAAAAAAACCAAAAGTTTAACGAAAATGTGTTAGCACACGATATGCCAATTTATGTTACAAGTAGTTGCATAATTCTAATTAAGTAGTTACCGAACCACCTAATACTATTGAACCTAGATATATTCTACCAAGAGTGGTGAAAACCTCAACACAGAAATTTTAACCAAACCCCCTTCCCAGGTAAGCTTTTCCTTTGACCTTCAAAGATCAAAAAGTTAGACGAAAATAAGATCCTTTGACAAGTCATTTAAATTGCACAAATACTAATCCACCCTGACATTCAAGACAAAGCCTGAAGGAAGGCCAGATCCGCACATTTCCAACATATATTGCATGTCATTGCAATAGGCCGCAAGAAGAAAACAATTAAACAGTAGCTTTGTTACCATGTTACCTTCTAAAGCATCAACTTCTAATTAGACAAACAGAAATTTGATTTCTTGTAGAAATGTTTATCAATATAACCAATGCAGCACCTATGAACTTGAAAAAGAAAAAAACAAGCTGGAAGATCAGAAGAGCCAAGCATGTTTACCGAAGTTTTTTCCGACAATGCAATGCCAAGTAGGGCCATACTTCTTGTCGAACTCCTTCTTAATCTGTTCTGCTACATCCTTCTCTACATTACACTTCTCAAATGCCTAGAATATACACACAGACAAAATGTATAAACATTCAGAAGTTGTATAGTCATGTCATATTCTGATCAGTGTAGACACTTAAAATTCTGGACTCTTCCTGACAATCAAGCAAAGAGTCCGGAACCAAAGTGATACATAAATTGGTCATAGGTTGTTTTTTCCACCTATTTTTGTGCTTTGAGTCCAAAAAAACGACACTTTGGTTCCGGACTCTCAAGCAAAGATCCATCTCACTTTTTTGTCTGAGAAATACACTTTTTGTCTCTTGAATCAAAGATAATAACTTAGAAAATAAATAGAGAAACATTCAATATTGTACTCAACAACAACAACAACAACAACAACTCAGTATAATACCACTAGTGGGATTTGGGGAGGGAAGTGTGTACGCAGACCTTACCCCTACCTTGGGGTAGAGAGGTTGTTTCCGATAGACCCTCGGCTCCCTACCTCCAAGAACTCCCACCTTGCTTTTAGGGTGACTCGAATTCACAACCTCTTGGTTGGGGTGACTCGAACGAACTAGAACTCACTACTAGAGCAACTCACTCTTGTCAATATTGTACTCACAAATTTATTAATTAAAGAGTTTAAATTCTTCGCATTGCCGGCGTAAAAGATACTGTATTTACACAATAAGGTCATTTATTAGGTAATTAGAGATGAATCTCTTGGTAAGTATTATAATATGTAATCTGGTAAAAATGATAACTGACCAATGTCACGGGTTAAAATACTTTTTACAATATCAGTATATATAACTTTATATATAACTTAAATCCTTAATTAAATTGTTTTACTCAAACAAAAGATCCTTTGTTCAGGAAATACACTGCTTTGGCCTCTAATTAAAGAAAATAGCTTAGACGCTACAATCACGAGATGTTCAAAGTCAACTCACACTTTATAAATTAAATAAATTAAACGATTTAAGTCATATGCACAGACATTTTAACATGTGAAAGCTGGTCAGTTGCCATATTTATCAGTACCAATTAATTCGTATCAAGAGATTCCCCTAGTATTTGCCAAATGACCTAATTGTGTACAAATTTTAATTACCTGATTGTGTAAATATTTTTTGCACCGGCAGTGAGTAGAACTTAAATTTATTCACGACTTCAGTTACTAGTAATTATTTTCTCACTCCGAAAATTGTTCATGAATAATTAACAAATTCGTGTGTGTGTGCGCGCGCGCGCGAGAGAGAGAGAGAGAGAGTATATACAGCAATAGCAATGTCGACAGCCTCATTTTGGAGGTCAGGTTTCATATCGGCACTTTTTATGATGACTGTCTTCTTCCCAACAGTAGTAGAAGTAGCTGAATTCGAAGAGGATTTTCGATCATCGGAGGAGGCTGATAACGACTTGCGATCGTCCGACGAAGACTTCACCACCACAGCTCCGGCTCCGATACCGTTTCTCTTCGTGTCTTCGCTCATTTCTTCATCTTTTCTTCTTCTCTTTCTGTTTTGAAGTTGAAGGCTGACACGCCGGGGCCGATGGTGCAAAAAAGTGCAAGAAAGAGAGTTTGCGTGTGTGTGTGTGTGAGAGAGAGAGAGAGAGGTTGTCTTTCTGATTTCCAAGGGCTAATCCTTATTGGGGGCAGTTTGCCACTTTTTGCTTTACGCTAAAGAAATTAGAAAATATTTTTCAAAATCAGCATATTTTGAAACATAATTTTCTTTAAAATATTTTTTAAAAATTATTTTTAGTGAGAAGTAATTTATATTTAACTAATTAATTTAAAGCATACTTTTAGGTAGTAATTAGTAGGAAAATTATCAATTATATTAGTCCATAAATAAGTTAGTATAAAAATTAGTCAATTCATAAATATTACCATTATTAGCCATGTAGCTATTTGTAACAAATAAAAAATGTCAATTTTTTGAATTTTGCTTTCTTTTGAGTGGGTGTTATTGGAATAGATTAGATATATCTTAAGGGATTTAAATCTCAGTTTTGGGATCATTAGATAGAGTTTTGAAATTATTTGAATTGAAAATTCGAAGTAGAAGATGAACATGAAAAAAGTGATATGTGTATCACATATGTATCATATTTGTATTAAATATATATCACATGTATATCTATGTATACTTGTGTGTGTGATATATTTTTGTTACATGTGTCACAAAAGAAATTTTGAACTCGATTTTAACTATGAATTTTGATACCAAATCACTTCTAATCTTCCTCAATTTTTTGTATATTGACTCATTCATATGTTTTCAATGAATTTTAACCATACCCATCGAAAATGCCATTTTGCTTAGATTTTTGGAATTATATATATGAAATTTTCTTTTCGTTTTGCATTTAATGCTGTTGATCACGTTTAAAAATATGGAAGGAGATCTTTGCGTGTGATTCTTGGAGAGAATTTGGAATCCTTATTTATTTTGGCTAATTTTGGTAAGTTTATGATTAACGGCTAAAGGTTGGTAAGTTATGACTTATTTGAGACATTTTTGTAAGATTTTCGATCTTAGTATTTGGTGAAATTTTTAAAAAATATTTCTGAGTAGGGTTGTTAATAGGGTGAAGTGCGGGAATAGTCACCTTTAAACCCGCTATTTAAAATATATTCACAATTTACAATATTTTTAAAGATTAGTTAATTCACCCAAACTTCAGGACTAAGTATCATGAATTTGAAAATTCATGACTTAGTGTCCTGATTTTTTGAGCTGCTAATTTGAAATTCAAGACATAAGATTCGAACTTAAGGACATAATTTTCCAACTTTAGGACACGATATCCTGAACTCTAGGACGCAGTGTCCTGAAATTTGTGCGGAATTGACTAATCGTTAAATACATTATAAACTGTGGATATATTTTAAACAACATGCTTAAAAGTGACTACCTGATGTTATTTTCACCTGTTAATATGGGCTTGGCCCGCTAGGCTGGCCCAACTCAGTCCGGGATTTAATAAGTTGTGCTAAGATTTTTGAAACCTATTTAAAAACAAGATTTTTAAGCTCGACCCATGTAAATCTGTAGCCCCTGAGGCTTGATCAAGGATGGGTTGGGTCAGCCCGTAGAATTAATAAACGTACTTAATTATGAATTATTGTTCAAAAATACTTTTTAAATTAATTAATCAAACATAAATTATTTTTTATTAAATATATTTTAAAAAAATACTTTAAAAAATTATAATAAACTAATTTTAGAAGTTCAGCTAAACAAGCTTCCGGTCAAAGACTCTCAACAAAGAAGTGAAAGGTGTAGGTACATATAATAGGCCTAAAAGATCAAAGTTGTGCAGAATACTTGCTTACAAACATCCACTGCTATATCAGAAGCTTTTCTCACTTTCTTATGAAAAGAAAAACACCATACAGCAAACCCATATCTCCGTTGTCTTCTTCCCTTTGCTGCAGCTGTGTCACCTTGGACTTCGGACAAATCCTTTGCAAATACAGAGATTCCATTCTTTTCTTTCTGTAAAGGCTGGCTGTTTCACGGATAAATAGGTCTGCATTGAAAATTGTACTTATATTGACATTTACGGGTTAATTATGCTAACTCCTCTTTAATTTGTCTAAATTATGCAAATACCCCTTATGTATACTCCATAATTTCAATTCAGTACTCCCTCCTAATTTATGTGACAATGTTTGACATATAGTATAAGAGGTAGTTTGATTAAGATGGATTAGAGAAAATAATGCATGCATTAACTTTTGGTATTACTAATCTCTTATTTTGTACACTTTTTCAACTTTATGTATTATTAATGCAAGTACTAGTTATACAACCTATTTGGTTTTACCAAGGTTATTAATACATGCATTAGCATGATTAATGATAAAATTATCCTTAAAGTCCCTTAAAGCTAAAGAATATGGAGGACATTTTTATAAATAATTATTTTTTATAAAAATTATGCAATGTATTTTAATTTTTAATACACTACACCAAATAATAGATAAGAAATAATTTATACATAACTAATACTTGCATTACAAACCCATGCATTACAAAATCTTGCATTACTAATACGTTTTATTCAGCATTATTCTTATACACTTTACCAAATGATTCCTTATGGTATAGTATGAATCTTAAATATTTGTAGGACTCAAAATCATCTCATTAAGAGTATAATAGAGATTCTAAAGTTAAATTGCTTCTAAACATTAAAAAAAAAAAAAAACAAAACATTCTTTTGGGACAGCCGAAAATAAAGTACGACACAAATTGAGACGAAGAAATACTTCTCTTTAGTTCATTTTAAGAAGAATGATAGTTTTTAAAAATAATTTAACTTAATGTTTTGTTTACCACACAAATATATACATATCTACGATTATAAGTTTTACATATTTCTTCCCCCTCCCCCCCTAAATTTCACACGTAGTTAAATTATATCACATAAAGTGAATAATACTACATGAGGGGTTGTTTGGTATGATGGAGGTGTAAAAATAATTTTAGTATCAACATTTAGTTTTGCCTTATTCTTGATTGGTTACTAATACTGGGATAAGTTAACATAGGACTAAAAATAGTATCAAGATAACTTATATCTTTTAGAGAGTGAAATAGTAATCTCAGGATAAGTTATCAAAGTAGTAAAGTTAACAAATCCAGAATTAATACAACATACCAATCAATCAATAAAAAATAATACCAGAATAACTAATTCCAGCATAACTAATCTTAATATTACTAATTTTAGTAAAATAAAGTAAGCTAATAATAAATAACACTCACATTACATTTATATTACTAATTCTTATATAACTATCGCATAACTAATCCATGTATAACTAATCCTAACATAACTCAACCTTGCATAACTTATCTCTGCATAACTAATATATGCATAACTAATCCATGCATTATTTATTTCTGCATAACTAATACATTTATAACTAATACATATATAACTAATATCTGCATAACTCTAACCGGCAACCAAACGATCCATAAGTATATTGGTAACTCCTAGGGTTTTTTTGCCTTGTTCATCAAAATGCGAAAAAATCAATCTTCTTATATTAAATAAGGATAACTTAATAAAACGTATTTTTTAATAAACAAAAAAAGCGCTAAAAGGACAGTTAAAATGAGACGGAATATGCACATTAGTAGCTCCTTAGGGTTTTTTGTCCTGTTTATCAGCTTTAATTACTACTCCATAGTCAGGTTTCCACATGCTCCTCGGGACTACCATCTCTCCTACTTCAACGCCATAATATTTTTCCTTTATTTCCATTCCTTCATTTATACTCCCCATTCTGACCACTTTCCCATCTTTCCATTTCATAACCAACTTAATCCTTTCTTTCTCACCAGCTCTTTAAGTTAAGCTCTAGTTAGCTGTTCTCAAGAAGAAGAGAAGCTATAACTAGTTGGAGTACTATATAATAGTAAAAAATATGGAAATGGAAGGGATTCAAGAAGACAGAGGTGAAGGTATTTTCCAATGTACAAATCATCCTTACAAGAATAATACCCCAGGTGGGATTTGTCCTTTTTGCCTTCAAGAAAAACTTGGAAACCTTGTTTCTTCCTCTGCTGTTTTTCCTTCTAATTCTTCCTCTTCAACTTCTTCTTTTAAATCTGATTTTGGATTCACTTCCACTACTTCTTCAACTCTTTCACTCCAAACCAACATCAAGAATACCTCTAACTTTACAAAATCAAGAAAATCTGAAGGTGAAGATTATGTCCATCAGAGAAAAGGGTTATGGTCATTTCTTTACAACTCATCTTCTAAACATTTTTCCACTGCTAAGAAATCTGAAAAACCTACAAAAGACATTAACTTTCCTTCATCTTCAGCTTTGAGTGGTTCTATAGAGGTAGAGGAGAATGAGGTCTGTCCTATTCAGGTTTATTCAAGATCCAGATCTATTGGCTGTGGAAGCAGAAACGTTTCAGGTGATTGTATTTTGCGAAGAGTCGAGTCTCAAAGAGAAGGTAAACATAGAGTTTCCTCAAGAAAAGAATGCATTAAAGAAAGAGTAAGATGTAGAGGGATTTTTAGTGGTTTTATGATTACTAGTTCCTCTTCATCTTATTGGGGATGGGTATTAGCAAGTCCAATGCGAGCTTTTACTAAACCATTATCAAGTAAGAAAGGAGAAGCCTCAAACAAGAATGCTACTCCAAATTTGGCTGCCATTCCTTCTTTATTGACAAATTAAAGGCTAGGAAGGGTTTTCTAGTTTACAAAGTAAATGACACTATACAAATTTACAATTTTCTTGTTTAGACTATGTTCATTTATGAGGTTTTGTTCATCTTTGTTTATGTATCATCACTGTTTAGGGGAAGGGGAAGGGCCTTGGAGCAATAATTGTGTACTATTGTGTTTTTATGATCCACGGGTTTTGAGCGTCGGACGGCCTTTTTACTGCTTTTTCCCTCTTGACTGTCGAGGTTATAGTGTCACAGACGCACAGTTTTGGCTGGTAAAAGATCTTTTATTGGAATCCGATTTGTGATTAAACACATAGTTACATTACTATCTTACTCAGTCTTTGACAATTTAAATGTACTCTTTATTTCTCCGCTAATTTTGAGTATTTCACACAATATCTCGTCCAGCATTTGAAATGTACATAATATCACATCATCTTTTTATTGCACTGGTAACTTATACTAATTACAACTCTTGAATGAAGAAATTAGGATGAGTACTAAATGGGTGATAATCAGGCGCAGAAGCCCGGTTATAGGTTCTGTTTTTGCTCAACCAATATATTTGTATTAAACTTAGAATTTAAAATTCATATCGTTGAACTTCTGGTTCTACCTCGGGTGCTAATCAACGAAGAGATTGACATAATTGATTGCAATGAGGACCCCAAGTCATAATATAACACTTAAGTCAAAGATCTTAATGAGTGAAATCTGATGAACTTTACTATTAAAGGACATACTATTTTAGCACCTACCAGAAATACATTCAAAGATAATCAATCACTTGGTTAGGTATTCTAGGGGTTGGCAGGGTAGGGAAACTTCTTAAAAAGCATTCAAAGGAAAGATCTTTCTACCTTCTTTTTCCCCTAGTAGTAGTGCAAATGGTATAAACTTTTTAAATCCTAGCCCCAGTAGGCAGTAACTATACTTTAGATTTTTTCTTGATTTATTTAGTATGATCCATTCTATACCCTAAGGTCTTGACTTGTAAAATCACGCACATTTTTTGGAATTTTGACTACAAGCATTAGTTTAGGTTTTTGCAACTTCAGTAGAAAGCATACAAAATTGAGTAGATAATATTACATCAATGGTTGGTTTGGAATCTGCCGCAAGATGAATGGAACTCAATCTAGTAACCACCTAAACTGATGAAATACAAGGTGCAACCACTTGGACAAAGAAACAAGTGGAAAAGTAAATGTAAGACTATAGAATATCTGGTATTTCAAATAATCTTTTCTACTCTACCTGGAAAAAATAGTTACCCGCAACTACTCGCCTTCCTACATCTAACTCCAAACTTCTGCGTTGTTTTGACAGTTTTTTCAGCTGTTCAGTAGTTAGTCGTGTAAAATTTACTCAGATGGGGCAGGGTGGAATATCAATAGTAATACCAGCTTGGATTTGGCCCCAACCAATAAGCCGCCAGTGCTTCTCAATTCTCCGGCTAAGAGCAATTTTCTCACCTTTACTGGTACACACAGGGGACGTTAATTGCAGTTTCGCGAAAACATTCTTGACAGCAACAACACGAGCCCCTGTTGACATAGACCCTATATTTAACATGAGGATTTCTCCCTTTGCCAACTTTGAGACTTTACCCTGCCTCTCCGAGTCCTTTGTCCTCACACCCAAAAGACGTCGGAGCAAAAAGAAATTCACCTGCATTACAAAGTATAGAAATAAAGGAAAGATACATAAGAGCACTGTATAGGAACTCAGTTGGAAGGAGGATAACACAGTCAATCGAAAACAGTAGACTTATTGAAAAAGAACCAGTAGTTCCTTTACGACAGACTTAACTATTTCATTACTCAGAAAGAAAAGGGATATCACTGATCTAAAAAACAGTTCTCTAAGAAGAGACATACAAAATTCTAGTTTTAGCAATTCATCAAGTTTCTGAAGTATTTCAAGGAAGTCATACCTCTAGTTCGACGAAAACTTCAGGGAGTGACCCAACCTCCCCAAGAACCTGTCCCACCAATCGATCAGCACGTGTTAATGTTGGATCCATAGTTGTTCCAACTCCAATGAGGCCTCCGGGCACAGCAAATTGTAGTTCATTTTGCTCGGCAAACAATGATACTATTCTTGAATATATTGGAGTACATTTGATGTTTCCACTCTCATCTTTGACAACAATTCCTGGACGAACTTCAATAAGTTGATTTACCTTCAATACACCCTGCACAAAGAATCTAATTAACCATTATGAAGGTCTTCCTTTTGTTATAAAGGTGGCATTCATGTCGTTTTTGTATAAATTCAATAATACATGGATAATTTTGTGAGGTGCTATTTCTTCCTTAGCTGAGTTAGTTAAATATCATTAACCTTCATCATTTTCAGGGCATGATTTTTTTTCTTTAGTTTTTATTCTCCTATTCAAATACATTATTTAATAAAATTTATGTGATTCAAAAGAAATAAATAATTATACCCACCGTCAATGACTAGTATCATTAATTGCAGGAAAAGAGAAAGATACCTTCAAAATACTGCCACCAGCAACACCACCTCTGATATCATCAACTTCAAAACCAGGTTTGTTGACATCAAATGACCGGATAACAATCATATTTGGTGGTGAAATGAAATTCCTCTCAGGAATGGGAATTTTTTTCACAATATATTCAGCAACTACATCAATATTGTACTTCAATTGTGCAGATATTGGTACAACTGGGGCACCATCTGCAACAGTTCCCTGAATAAGGTTTTGAAATATGGTATTATAACAACTATCCTCACAAATTAAGCACAGAATGTGAGTGGAGAAAGAAAAGCAGTATTCCACTAACCTGAATAAATTTCTGAATTGCCTCGTGCTGGTTGATGGCAACATTTTCCTGGACTAGATCAACCTTATTTTGAAGAATTATGATATGTTGGAGGCGCATAATTTCAACAGCTGCTAAATGTTCAGAAGTTTGAGGTTGGGGACAGCTCTCATTGGCAGCAATCAGAAGTAAGGCTCCATCCATAATTGCAGCTCCATTAAGCATCGTAGCCATGAGAATATCATGACCCTGCAGAAAACGATGTTATAGGCAGCATTGGTATAATAGAAAGTTATACGGCAGAGATGAGAATTAAATATCACAAGGATGCAAAGTACATCATGAGTTAGTTTTTCAGTATTATGACTGCAATTTATTAAACAAAATAATCTCCCCCAGTAAGGAGAAGTATCTACTGACAGAGAAACATAAACATACGTTAATGACAACATAACCAAAGAGAAAATTCTCTTCAAATTATGTATTCCAAAGTGCATGCTGCAGTTTCAAATATCCAATATCCAAAAACCATTAAAAGGAGCAGTAATTTTCAGAAAAAGGGACAATTACATAGTAGTTTATTAGAATAAACCGTTCAAAGATGCAAAGCTGAGGGTCACCAGCGATTGTTTAGATAACGATACTGAAGCTGAATATCTCTTTCTAAAATAGGCCTACAATTCTGAAACAAAATAAAAAAATAAAAAAGGAACACACATAAAACACGGGGAAAAAAATACTTATCTTCCAAGAGTTCCTTCAATCTTAGAGAAAGCTAATAGGTACTGCAAGTTAAATGCGAATACTAATATAATGTCGAGCATTCAGTACAAAGAAAGCAGTAACGATTTATTGAAAACTTTTTTTTAAGTACTTTCCTGCTTTAATACCAAAGCTACAATCCTCAATATTTTCTCTGGTATGGTCATATCTAAGCACAGTCAAACTAAAGGCTAATCATCTCATATAGAAACAGAATGCACAACTAAAATGGCAGTAATACATACTGTACAGAGTGGCACGTGAGGAACTTACGGGGCAATCAACAAAGGATACATGCCTCAGTAATTTCATCCTGCAGTTCTCAAAACCAGGGACATCACACATGGGACTGTCTTCTTTTCCACTACCATATGCCCTGGAAATGATTGTTGTTACAGCACAGGCTACCAATGAAGCACATTTCTGTTTCAAGTCAAGGACTCACTTGTAGCACATGGGTCTAGGACAGCGCTCTTCTTCACATTTGTATATCTTAGCATTTGCATATCCAAGCTTAATTGTAATATTACGTTCTAGCTCATTTTTAAAACGAACGGTCTGCACAAATAAGGGTGTTTAATTATTTTCTGTCTGACTACTTTCAGCAAACACACAGTGTGAATAAACTAAGTAAGACAAAACAAAGATCAGACCAAAATAAGGACTTACTAACCAACATATACGAAATATCAATTGAGCTAGCCCATAATAGATAAAAATCATTAATTTTCGTAAAAGCTGATTATTCCACCATAATTTTCCCAAACTGCTAATACAGGCTCTGTGTCTTGTTGCAATATAGAGTAATATAATAATAGCTTTGATTCATTATCAGCATACTGAATAGGAGCACAGGGAATTACTTTATTTTTCATCATAACAGAAGGAAAAGGACAAAACCCAGAAATGCTTTCTAGTTGATAAACTAAATAGTTACTTAGCGTTAGATACCTATAATTAACAGAAAGAATATTTGTTCCCAGAAATACAAAGGTAAATAAGAACCTGTATTTACAGTTTACAAAGGTCAACATATCATTCAATTGTAACTCAAGAGAAGCAGTTAAATAGAGGACTCTCACATCTGACAAGAATTTTATGATCTAGCAGGACAAACCTTCTAAACTCAGAAGTTTAACTCCATTGATAAAAGGTCCAGAATTTAAACACGACATACCTGCACACCAGATATAGCTTTTACGACTGTTGACTTTCCATGAGCCACATGGCCAATAGTACCTAGATTTTGAAATCATATTTCAGTAATTCAGTGTGACTAGTAAAGTGTAAAAGGGATATATACCATACACAAATTGATGTAAGCACATATCGTTTCAAGTATTCAATTATTACTAGTTTACCAATATTTATTGTAGCCTGACGAGAAATAACTTCAGGCGAAAGCGGATGTAGCTTTGTCACATCCAATTTGCTTAGGTCCTGCTCCATCAATCCTTTCCGAGACATTTTCGACTGCTGTTAAATACTTCAGTAGCAATCTTCAACTCTGAAAGTTGGAACAAAGACAAAGAAAGTCATCTTTAAAACTACAATGACTTATCATAGAACGTCGAGCAACAAATCAACAAACTCAAGGAATAGGGTTACACAGCTTAATCACCAAAGTGTTTGCTTAAGCAACGAAAAATTCAGACACCTCATTATTAACTTTCTTTTATTGTCCTTCCCATACCAAAGAAATGGAACCTAGCTGATCAAAGACCAATCTCCACCCGATACACTGCCAACGACCAACGGATTCATCAAGTACGTTCAAGCATCCTAGCATCTCAAATTGACCTCATCTTTTTTTCTTTCCATAAATGCATAATCAATTGACATTATTAGGTTGATTTTTCTATATAATATAATGGTAGTATCTGGATAAACTTGCAGGCACCTCGACTACTCTACTGTATACCTGCTTCGTCCCACCAACACAGATAATGAGTAACTCTATCCACCGAAATTTATATAGATAGAAAAATTCACTTAGTACTGAGTTTAAGTTTTATGCACTGAGAATGTAATATTCACACTATTACGTCAGTTGAAAGACAATTGCATGTTACTTCATTTAATATGAAATGCAATACTATTAGTAATATGTCACACAGGAATTCGAAGCTTTATTTGAGAAATGGAAACAAACACATCGTTTTAATCCAATTCATTAAGCATTTGCATTATAGCACTAAAAATCATTACAGAAAAGGTTAAAGAGTTTGGTCTAATTGAAGATAGACAGAAAGGAATTATTTAAGAGAAACATACAAAGTCAGCCGTCGGAGAAGGAGAACGACGAGGAGTTGGCTGCTGAGAGGAGGGTTCGGCCGCTGAAAACTGTTACAATTTGGGCTCCATTTGTTTGCTTTTAATCCACAGCCCACTTGAATGAATTTGGGCTTCAGATCAAGTAGGCCTTAAGTACTACAAATTTGGGTTTTATGACTGGCCCAATAAAGGCCCATTACGATTGGTGGATTAAGTGGGTCAACCCGGTCCACTTGCCTGGTCAGTGACTAAAACATATGTATATGACTGGTGAGACATCTCTATAGCAGCATCCCTAAAAAATAAATTTTTCTTAAAACCAATTTTTAAGTTATATTTTACTTCTCTATAACAGCTTTTTACCTATAACAATAACATGTAGTAGCACGCTCTTTGTAAAATTACCTCTCTAAAGCAGCCATATAAAATATTTAAGATTACTAATAATAATTCTAAAAATATGCACACAATCTTTTCTATTAACAAAGTTTCTATCTTGCATAACGTATAAGATTTGAAGATTTGCACAAGATATTTTTTCTACTGGACAAATTCCAAAAAATATTGGGATTTTTTCATTCCTATACACTAATTGAAACCTTATTATGAAAAATATTCATGTTTTGGTATTTACCCGACCTAAACACATTTTAGTTACAAAATATATACAATCCACCTTAAAGGGCTCTCAAATCCATTATTTGTGTCTTCAATCAAGGGATTTAGTTACACCATTTTCCTTTTTTTTTCCTCTTCTCTTTCCTTATTTTTCTTCCGCCTTAATATACGGTAATCATGAAAGCTATTTTTCTCCACCCTGTCATTTTGCCATGGATTGTTTTCCTAGTTTGTAAATTTGGAAGAAAGGCGCAAGCTTTTAGAAGAGCAGAAAAAGTGAATTTGGAGGTGTTGAGAGGAAAATGAGGTTCTTTAGAGTAGGCTAAGAGAGCTTCAAAATGGTTTCCTTGTTGGATAAAAGTTTTGATTTTTGAATTAAGCCAAACAAAAGAATGGATTGGATTCGTAGTGGAAAATTCACGGGATTTGAAGCAAAGGAAACGCATAGCATCTCATCCTCCTAAGTTCAGCAAATGTCACTGACAAACTGGAGAAGGTGGACTTACTCCTCTGCACTTCAAGCGAAAAATATATTTTATTTTGTTTCTTGTGTTATAAAGATTGGTCTAAGTGAAAAATATAAAAATAGATATGCGTGTCTGAAATATATTCAGTCAAGTATGTGTTAAAGGAAGGTGGGTCAAGTAAAAATGTATTCAGTATACAACTTATCTACAACTTTCATATATTATTTCTACCGAGTTATATACAACTTAAATACAATTTTTATATAAATTTTATATAATATGTCCTTTGTATATTTTGTATCTGATTTATACATACAACAACAACAACAACAATAACAACCCAGTATAATCCCACTAGTGGGGTCTGGGGAGGGTAGTGTGTACGCAGACCTTACCCTTACCCTAGGGTAGAGAGGTTGTTTCCGATAAACCCTCGACTCCCTCCTTTCAAGAACTCCCCACCTTACTCTTGGGGTGACTCGAACTCACAACCTCTTAGTTGAAAGTGGAGGGTGCTTACCACTAGAGCAACTCACTCTTGTCAGTCTGATTTATACATAGTAAAAATAAATTTCATACAACTAATTATATAATATACAACTTATCTACAATTTTCATATATTATTTTTACCCAGTTATATATAACTACAATATCATACCACTTAAATATAATTTTTATATAAATTTTATACAATATGTCTTTTGTATATTTTGTATCTAATTTATACATAGTAAAAATAAATTTTATACAACTAATTATATATTATACAACTTATCTATAACTTATCTACAACTTTCATATATTATTTCTACCAAGTTATATACAACTACAATATCATATAACTTAAATACAATTTTTATACAATATTATTCAACTTTCATACAATATTTAAATAAAAAATATATATAAACAACATAATAAAATTTTTCTATAATTTTACTATAATTTCGTAAGTATAATGTATGCCATGTCTTCTTCTTCTTCTTCTTCTTCTTCTTCTTCTTCTTCTTCTTCTTCTTCTTCTTCTTCTTCTTCTTCTTCTTCTTCTTCTTCTTCTTCGAGTTTCAATCTGAAATTCAGCTAAAATCAAGTTTAATCTTCACCAAAACAACCTCAAAATTGAGATATAAACTCCAAACAATATTTCCAATTGTTTGCAATAACATCCAATCCAAACAAATAATGGTTTTTGAAAATTCAAATTCGAATCAAAAGCTTCAAAGCTTTTTAATGGCTGTCAATGGTGGAATTGCCGCTCTCTTTTTCTTTGCTCTACATTACTGGAATTAGGGATTGAGAGATAGAGAGAGACGTAGAGAGAATTCCCAATTATTTGCAACAACACCCAATTCAAACAAATAATGGTTTTTAAAAACCCAAATTCGAATTCAAAGCTTCAAAGTTTTTTAATGGATGTCAATGGTGGAATTGCTGCTCTCTTTTCCTTTGCTTTACATTACTGGAATTAGGGATTGAGAGATAGAGAGAGACGTAGAGAGAGAGAGAGAGAGAGAGAGAGAGAGAGAGAGAGAGAGAGAGAGAGAGAGACGAAGAGAGAGAGAGCGTAGGAGGGAGAGAGAATAAGGATGAGAAATAATTAATTTCTAATATAAAGGGATACTCATTTAATTCCTAAAGTGTATATAATTGGTAAATTTATATATAGGGTGTAATTAAATTAAAACTTGAGTAGGGAGGGTAATAAAGTTTCAAATAGTGTATAGGAATGTAAAAGCTCCAAAAATATTTAGATAGAAAATTCCACTTTGATGAATTTGGGCTTCAGTTCTAATGGGCCTTAAGTACTACGAATTTGGGCTTTAAGACTGGCCCAATAAAGGCCCATCCAGATTGGTGGATTAAGTGGGTGAATCCGGTCCACTTGCCCGGTCAGTGACTAAAACATATGTATCTTACTATGTTTAACGGAATAAATTAGACATAATTGTCAAAATAAGACTTTTTGATTTTGCTATCCAATTATATTGTATATGAATCTTAATATCCAGGAATACAGTTCTTTGTATGTTCATTCGAATACTAGATTTGTCCCTCAAGGAAATGAATACTTCTAGGCAAATTATCCTTCTCCGATATTTTCTTTCTCTCTTTTTTTATAACGTAGCATTTATATATTTAAAAATGGAAAGTACTAGTACTTAGAGGGAACTAAACGTGAGGTTACAGTTTCCGTTGAGTCAAACATTAAGCGAGACAAAATAAAAGGAGGTAGGGGTGGGGTAGGGGGTGTTTCAAAAATCATAGTATCATGGTGTAGTGTAGTAGTCCTTTGCTTGCCAAAACGTGCCATTTGATCCGCCACTCCATTTCCCTTCCGAAATGTGTGTTGGATCCCAGGTAATTGTAGATTACCGAGCATCAAAGTCTTCGTAGAGCAGTTAACTAGAATTAGAAGATTGCTGACGCGAGAGAGTACGACCTCTCTCAGGATAGATGGTTGTCCTCCTTTTCACAAAAAATAGAGAGATAAATTGATATATTTGTTGGATCCATTAGGATTGAGAAGACCTGAATCTACACTCCTATCTCCCCAGAGTCATGTCCTACCCTGCCTTGAACTAGAGCGCGAACACCATGACACATAACTATAAGAGAGTATTTGCCCGTCGAAGTTAACTTGGTCAATAATTGATGAAAGGACCACTTGGAAATCAAGTAAAATTTGGAAATCTAAATTCAGAATTATTTCTCCAGAGATCATATAGATACAATTTTAGCATTGCCATGACTTAATGTCATAGTCTGGTTGTGCCCAAAGCATTGTCTAACCCCGATCAATATTGTAACAATATTTTGTATATATTTTTTAAGTCACTGTAATATTTGTTAGGATCGAAATAATCAGGTGTCATGCGTAAACTAGTAAAGCAAAACTTGAATAACGATAAATCAGACAACAAAGGAGAAATATACAAATAGAGACACAAACATTTGACGTGGTTCGGTCAATTGACCCACGTCCACGAATGGAGATGAACAATCCACTATATAAAAGAGAGTACAAATTATCGAGAGAACAACCTCACGAAGAGGCAAACACAAGTGACACACTAACACTTGTCCTATAAAATTCTCCCCCTAAACATGACTCTCAAACCCCTTATGACTATATTGTGGATGCTACTGAATGAGAAGGAACGATCCCCAATTTATAGAAGTCCAAATATTTTTTTACAAGAAAAGGGACTAGCCAAATATGAAAGATTTGTAATTTCCATCTATAAGAAGGAAAATTCAATTATGGTAAATATGTTGTACTTTCCTTCAAGAAATAGAAAAATCAAATATGGTAAAAAAATCAAGACAACCCCTAACAATATTCAGGTTAACTTATTCGTACCTTAACTAATGAATTAGGTACTTGTTGGTTTCTATCAGTACAGATATCAAGTAATTCCACTCGATAAGGTTTACACAAATGTAAAGAATTTACCTAATACAACACTGCTTGAAAATAATGCTAAGTAATTTGTGATGGAAGTACAACTATATTAGAACCACACAACCTCAAATCCAAGCTCGTATATGAGCTCAGTCGTGACATTAACCAACGATGCTTGCGTAAAAATTCTGCATATGTCACAGTAATGATGTTGTTGCCATCAAGCGAATAGACATCTGTGCCCTCATTAAGATGGTTGTTCATATTTGTGGAACTGATGGTTTATTTCAAGCCTCGTCTACCTTGCCAAGCCACTTGCCTTTGGAACTATATATATTGAAAAATGCTCAATTATATAACCCGAAAGCCCCATATTTAGGGTGTGTTTGGTAGGTCGAAAAATATTTGGCTTAAATATTTTGAAAAATATTTTTCTCACAAACTCATTTTCCTTCAATTGGAGGAAAACATTTTCCGTCAAG